GCTTTCTAGTCACAAGTCGCGTTGCTAGTGAGTGAGTTCTACATTTTTCTGAGGCTAAAATGGAAAAAGGGTCATGTAACCACCCTCTTCAGCAGGCACATCATGCACCACTGAGCAAGCACTCTAGTTAATTTATAAAGGATAAAAAATATCAGTAGGAAAATAAAACGTACAAGTATCGTACTTAATTTGTAGAGGATAAAAATAGAAAAATAAAAATTAAAGTGCAACTCGGTCGTATACTGAGAAAATAGGAAAATAAAGCACTATAAAGTTAAGGTACAGTGCAACCATATTAGTACATCATGCACTACTGAGAAATAAAAATAAAAATTAAAGTCAACAACACATATAGGATCGAAATATCATCACCCTTATAATTATGAGTGAAAGTGCAACCCACTGAAATACTAGTTCCTGGTTGTGCAAAATTACAAATATTAGCTTTAGTGTCAAGTTAATACCGGCTGTCCCACAACATATGATGTGGCACACTTGGCATGCCATGTGGGTCTACCCCTGCCTTTTATTGCTTATTATTAAGGGTCTATTCGGCTGAACTTTTTTCCAGCGCTGCAGTAGCCAAAATCCATAGATGCTACAATGTTATGTCTCTTATGGTGGAGGCAGCCACATTCGCACGCACGACTGCAAATGACAAATCCATCGTGGGGGCTGGGGGAGGGGTTCACGCCCCCTACACCCTAGGACTCCATAGAGTTAACGAAGAAGGAGAAGAGATGGGAAGAGCAAGAACAAGGAGAAGAAGAGAGGGGCTGAAGGAAGAAGTGAGATGAGCCCCATAAGAGCATTTCCAAGAGATAGTCCAAATTCTATCCTTCATATCTTTCTTTGGCTATTCACTCTATAGGATTCCCCCTCTATATTTAGCACACTCCAACAAACTAGCCAAATATCATCCACTATTCAAATTAACAAGAATGGATGGATTTTCTTTTGATTTTTTATAATTAAACTAATTCCTAAAGTTCAAATATTTTTAAAAGCAGTCAACTTTGATGAATTTTGATTTAAAATTTGCAAGAGATTTGGAAGGGTAAATCCAATTAAAATGGGTTCTTTGTTATTTATTCTATCAACAATAAAATAAACATAATTTTAAGAGCTTATAGACTTATAGTCACCTTTTGAATTATGAAAGAGAAGAGGCGCAATGAAGTTTTAGTCTTTGATGAAGCAAGACAATGTAAAAAAGTATTGGCCCTCCTTCCAGGTTCACAAGATAGAGGATGCCGGGGGCGCTACAGCCTGCTACATTTGTCAAGCGCAGAGCGTAATATGGTGGGCGTGCAAAACTGACGAGTCATATTGCGTGGTTGCTGGAGAGCTGATTTTGCACTGTGGCTAGGCAAACAGGCGATGGCGAGCGTGATGGCTGCTGTAAGATCCATGTTCAGTGTTCATCCCTTGGTGGTAATAATAAGTTAGTAATAAGGGTGGATATAAATAGAACAAAAAAGTAGAGAGAGTTCATGTAAATAAAAGTGTGTAAGGTCTTGAAGTTGCTGCACTTTTATTGTGGTTTTTAATATAAGAAAATATGTTATATGATAAATTTGTTTGTTTTGTTGCCACATTATCTCCTTATTCCATTTTAAGTGTATTGGATCCGGTAAAGTTTATTTATCTACGTTATTATTTTTCAGTTTAAATATTGGAACTTGTACACTTTTCTATTTTAGAGAAACCAAGTTATTTCTTTTAAGTGAAATTTTACGACAAGTTCTATTATAAGAGCAAGTTCAGATACAATGACTAAGTACTGGCTAGCTAAAAATTAGCTCCCGCGTATTTAAACAAGAGGATTAATAGACGGACTAATTTCTTAGTCAAGTCTTTAAATAATTGTTAAGCTAATTTTTAGCTCCAACTATTAAGTAACTATATGTATTAAACAGGTCCTATTTTGGCTTATTGGTGTTGTCCGGTGGTTTTTGCTACCGGTAAAAGAAAACCGTCGATCTTGTATAGATGAGTGTAAGGTGCGTGTATGTGTATAAGATGTTCAGTATTTATACAATTAAAAAACTGCATAGAAAATATCTTTATGATTTTGCCTTTTGTGAACAAATATATTCCTCACATAACGCCTTTTAAAAAAAAAAAAAAAATCCTTTCTCTTCCGCTCGGCGCTCCCTCCCCACTCCTCACTCCCCAGCGTCCTGCTGCTCTGCCGCCGCACCCAACTAAAGGGCAGTGCGTGGCCAGTAGTGGCTTCACGCTCACACCGCCTCGCCAACCCGGACCCTAATCCGGCGTGCTGGGCGCGAGCACGGAAGGAATCCCCGTAGCGAGGAAGGAATCACCGGCAGCGGGTGGAAAGCTCCACGGGGCACAGGCAGGGGCTGCAGGAAGGCCGCGACCGGGCTGTTTCGGCTCATGCCTGGATCTGGGGGAGAGGGACGCGCGGCGCCGCGCCTCGCCGGATCCCGTGCGTCGGCGGCCGGATGGTGACCAGCGGTTCCAGGTATGGGTGGTTTTGGCCTGCCCGCTCCTGTCTGGGTTCTTGGTTGGGTTTGGGAGTGGGGAACCGATGCTGTTCCCGGCTTCTTGGCCGGTCTCTGAGGTTGTTCCCAGCACGACTATGCATCTGTTCCCAGCATAGTCGTGCGGGAGATGCCGCCTCGCGAGGTTGGCGGTGGTTAGATGCTGGTAGCGGTGAGGAATTCCGAAATGCCGCTGGATTCGCTTGCAATTTCAAGTGCCCTGCCGCGTTTATTGAATCCCCATCGTTGCTGTTCTTTTGCTTTTCCTTGCTATTGCTATCTTCTCTTCCCTGTGAATGTGTTTGCGTTTTTGGAAAGATTTGTTTGTTTTTTTTTTGTTCTGGGTCTGGCAGTTTCTCATGTTTTCCTGTTCTTTCCAAATTGTTTGGCGTGAATTTTGAACCGTATCTATTTTGAAGACTATTTTACAAGCTGTGCTGCTGTGGCTTTTCTTCTGGTGTTCTCTTTCCCTGATTCCCACCGCCCAAAAGGTTTCGAGGTTTCACTATAGCAGTTTGAGGTCTTTGCAGCTTCAGTTGTACTAGTTCTTTGCAGATTTCTTTCTGTTTTTGCTGGAACACCCGTACAATCTGCCAGACGTTTAAATTTACCAATTAGCTTGTCGCATGATACAAATCTCCTAAATCCGTTTCAAATTACAGTTCGTTTGACCTTTTTTTATCCTAGTTTATCTTATTCAAAAATTTATGTAAAATATTACTTCTTTTACTGAGGCTCGCTTTATTATCAAACGTTTTTCAAGCATGACTTATATTTGATTATGTTTACACAAATTTTTTGAATAAGATGAGCGGTCAAACTTAGGGTCTTGGAAAGGGGAGAGTAATTTTTATGTGATTTCCTTTGGTGTATGTTGTTCACTGATGATGTAGCGTTAGTGGACGAAAGCTAGGTGAGAGTAAATAGGAAACTAGAGTTATTGCGACAGACCCTTGAATCTAAAGGTTTTAGATTGAGCAGAACTAAAACCAAATATATAAGATACGACTTTGACGGAGCTGCACAGGAGGAGGGAGATGTGAGCTTGGAAAGAAGTCGTGTCTAAGAAGGATACTTTTCGGTATCTGGGATCAATGCTACAGAGGGATGGAGATATTGATGTGGACGTTAGCCATAGAATCAAAGCAGGGTGGATCAAGTGGCGACAAGCTTCTGGCATTCTCTGTGACAAGAGGGTACCACAAAAGCTAAAAAGTAAGTTCTATAAAATGGTTATTAGACAGGCTATGTTGTATGGAGCATAATGTTGGTCTTCAAAGATTCGATATGTTCAACAACTGAGTGTTGTAGAAATGCGTATGTTGCGATGGATTTGTGGTCACACAAGAATGGACCTAGTTCGGAACGATGATATACGTGATCGTCTAGGGGTAGCACCAATTGAAGAAAAGCTTGTCTAACATCGGTTGAGGTGGTTTGGCCATGTCCAAAGTAGATCTCCAGAGGCATCAATGTATTGTGAAGTCCTAAGCTAAGCTAATAATATGAGAAGAGGTAAGAAAGACCGAAATTGACACGGAGGAGATAATAAAAAGAGATTTGAAAGCTTGGGATATATCTAGAGATCTATGTTTGAATAGGAGTGCTTGGAATGCAGCTATTGAAGTGCCTGAAGTGTGACTTGGGGCTCTTAATGTGTTTCAATTTTAACCTACTTCAACTTGCTTATGACAAAAAGGCTATGTTGTTGTTGTTTTATTATTCTTTTCCCCACCTTGCAATGTTGCTATCCCATGCTGTCCTAGTTACTCCTTATCACGTGGCACGTACTATAGATGTTCACGGGTTTAACTGCTTGTCATATATAGTGCTACAATAGTCGCGTCTTGTTCGTTTGGCTTATAAGCCGTATTTTTTCAGCCAATAAATAGTATTTTTCTCTCACAACAAATAAGCCAACGGTACTTTCAGCCATAGCTTATCAGCCAACCGTGCTTTCTCTCACATCGTGTAGGTGAAGTGTTGATATCTGAGGTTTGGTGAGGCGCGACTGATGCCAATGGTCCCATGTTCGGTTAGAAAATTTGGAATATATCATGAGTCCCTGACCGTATCATGTATTATTTTGCAGTGATGGAAAATTATTGATTTTTAAACAGTGTACCTTAGAAGCTTGCATCACTGTCAGTGCGTCTTGACAGCATTTATGAGCTCTGTCCGTCCTTTTGAAAAAGCTAGGCAAGGATCCCGTTTTTCCTTGCGAGACACTGCTTGTTCTTGCACGGTGACATCAAAGTTGGCTCGCACCAGGGTTATAGGTTGCATTCAGAGATTTTCCTGTGTACCTAGCTTAAATTGTTTGACCAAAGGATTGCCTGAAAGCACGCACTGAACAACTTTGTTAAGTACTGTTCTGCCTGTATGTCAAAATGAAACCTCAATTGTGGCTCTATATATGAATTTCTCTTGTTACTTTGCAGGGTTTACAAGTAAAGTTTGCGCAACAATAATGAATTAGGTACACACTACAAGATGGCCACTGAGGTCAATCAAAACTTTTTTGCATGGTCACAGGAGGAAACTTCTGTGCAAGATCTTTCACAGGTTCTCTCTTTCATCATTCATTTTATTGCCACGTACAATGTACAGTCAAGCAATTTACCTGAAGTGATAGAAATTGTTAGAATATCTATGGCCACTATTAGGCACATGTCTGTCTGTTGAACCTTTTTTCATTGCCATTAGAATAAATCGATTCAAGCCAACACCTAATGATAACTGTGAACCTATGTGCCAGTGTAATAGAAGTTGCTAAAATTCCATAATGAGTACTCTTCCATAATACATGGTATCCACCCCTGGTAGGTGTACTAGTTAGTGTTGTTAACCCAAAAGCTTCCTTGGAAGCCGGCAACCTTTCTATAAGTGAAGAATCATCGCATTCTTTCTAAGTAATCATTATCGTCTGTTGATATTCTCACACTTCTTTACTATATGTCCTATTTATTCCTTCAGGGAACATCACAAATGTTTGGTCATGGTTCCATATCTTTTGGAAGATTTGACTTGGAATCATTAGAATGGGAGAAGTGGTCTGTATTTACCAATGACAGGCGTCATGAAGAGTTTGGAAAGTTCAATGGATTAGTTGCGAAGAAGAAGGCATACTTTGAAGAATACTTTAAGAGGATTAGGGAGCTCAAGGCTTTACAGCAACAGAACCAGCAAACTGAACTTCATCTGGAGTACAATGGTGATGGCAGCGATTCTAGTCAAACAGGAGAATATGAAGCAGCCACAGCCCATAGAGCTCCTACTGAATCTGAAACACTCGTTGATGATTCCACAAAGCAGACAACAGCTGCAATCACAATTGAGCATGGAATGGAATGCTACGGTTATCATGAGAATGGTAGTTTAGTGAATGAAATTTCTGCATCAACCCATTCTTCACCAGTTGGTGATTTGCAGCAAATTGGCAAACAAATGAGAGGAAGCGTTAGTGGCAAAACAGATATATTGGTGCAAGATGCTAATTCCAGCCAAGATGATCCTATGGTCCATGAGACTATGATCACTCCTAATAAGAGAACAATTGAGAAAGACTCTCGGGTTGGTCAGGCGTCAAAAATAATTCCGAAGACTGTCAAGATGATTTCTAGTAATGTTTCTGATCACACAAATGTTTCCAAGGTATTCACACATTGACTTTGGACATGTTTCCATCTTGTTCATTGTTGCAATCTGTATGTGCACTCTTTTCTAATAAGACTACTGTCCTGGACCTGGCTTAGTGTGCAAGACAGGAAATAAATGCCTTATTTTTTTATGGAACTTCAGAACTAGAATTCATAAGCTATGCCCTATCTATTTGAATTACCTTGATGCATGCCTAGATGGCTAGATTGATTTCTTTAGTTTCCTGCTATTTTAGCCATAGACATATATTATGTGTTTTATTATGTAGCCCAAAACCTGTACATTTTTCATGAAGATATAAGCTATTTTTCATGAATATTTTCAGGGACCCTGTTCAGGCGAGCCCAGTGTGATAAACCAGATGGCAAAACCGGAAAATATCCTGTCATTGCGAAGGCCAAGAGAAGCAACCAGCGATTTAGTTGGCACCGCTGCAAGAAGTGGTATTACAGGGTTAAGAAGACCTTCCTCAGCAGCATTACAACGGCCCTCTACCAGAGAACGGCGACCTGTCACAAAAGATGCTTCAAGGAAGCATGCTGAAGTTACCACTCCATGCCGTCCATCAACTTCTGAAAGACGCACGGCCATCAGAGATTCGGCGCTAAAGCATGGCAACAATGCTATCCCATGTCGACCTTCTACCGCTCACAGGCGCCCTATCGCCAAAGAATCAGCAACAAAGCAATGCAATATTGCTACTCCACGCCGGCCTTCTACTGCCGACAGGCGCCCTGTCACCCAAGATTCAACACCAAAGCTATCCAACATTCCCACATCGACCTTCTACTGCTCACAGGCGCCCTATATCCAAAGAGTCAGCTCCAAAGCATTTCAATGTTGCTAGCCCACATAGGCCTTCTACTGGTCAAAGGCACACTAGTGCCAGAGATATGGCATCGAAGCATATTGGTATTGCTACCTCATGTCTGCCATCTGTTGTCAAACAGTGCCCTATCACTGGAGAGGGTGCACATAAGCATGCTGATGTTGTCACCCTAAGCCATTCTTCTACTGCTGATAGGCGCCCCATTGTTAGAGATGTTGCACCAAAGCATGCCACTTTAGCTCTGCCAAGGAGGCCATCTACTGCCGAGAGGCGCCCCATTGCTAGAGATGTTGCACCAAAGAATGGTCTGCCACACAGACCTTGTACTGCAGAGAGGCGCCCCATTGCTAGAAATGTTGAACTGAAGCATGCACCAGCACAGAGGCCTTCTACCGCTGAGAGACGTCCTGTTACCAGAGAGACTGTACTGAAGCAAACTAATGTTGCCAACTCACGTTTGCCTTTGACGCCAGATAGATGCCTCACCAAAAAAAGTGTCATTTCCACCCCAGAGCGCCCTTCTACAGGAGGAAGGTGCCCTGTCACCAATGGCACTACAGTCTGGTCAGGAGCAATGCTGAACTATTCGAAGGGTGCTATGGTCACAGAAGTACGTCGCAACCCATTCTCTTAACACATCGCATCATCATCAACAACAACAAAGTTTTTAAATCCCAAACAAATTGGGGTAGGCTAGAATTGAAACCCAGTAAAAGCAATCAAGGTTCAGGCACGTGAATAGCTGTCTTCCAAGCACTCCTATCTAAGGCTAAGTCTTTGGATATATTCTATCATTTCAAGTCTTATTTTATTGCCTCTATCCAAGTTAATTTCGGTTTTCCTCTGCCTCTCTTCATGTTACTATCCTGGCTTAAGATTCCACTACGCACCGGTGTCTCTGGAGGTTTCCGTTGCACATGTCTAAATCATCTCAACCGGTGTTGGACAAGCTTTTCTTCAATTGGTGTTACTTATAATCTATCACGTATATCATCGTTCCGGACTCGATCCCTTCTTGTATGATCACAAATCCAACGCAACGTACGTATTTTCGCGACACTTATCTGTTGAACATGTCGTCTTTTCGTAGGCCAACATTCTGCACCATACAACATAGCAGGTCTAATCGCCGTCCTATAAAACTTGTCTTTTAGCTTCTGTGGTACCCTTTTGTCACATAGGACACCAGATGCTTGCCGCCACTTCATCCACCCTGCTTTGATTCTATGGCTAACATCTTCATCAATATCCCCATCTCTCTGTAGCATTGATCATAAATATCAAAATGTATCCTTCTTAGGCACTACCTGACATTCCAAACTAATATCTTCCTCCTCCCGAGTAGTAGTGCCGAAGTCACATCTTATATACTCAGTTTTAGTTCTACTGAGTCTAAAATCTTTGGACTCCAAAGTCTCCTGTCATAACACCAGTTTCTGATTCACTCCTGTCCGGCTTTTATCAACTAGCACTACATCATCCGCGAAAAGCATACACCAAGGGATGTCCCCTTTGTATGTCTCTTGTGACATCATCCATCACTAAGGCAAACAAATAAGGGCTCAAAGCTGACCCTTGATGTAGTCCTATCCTAATCGGGAAGTCATCCGTGTCTCCATCACTTGTTCGAACTCTAGTCACAACATTGTTGTACATGTCCTTAATGAGCCCGACGTACTTCGTTGGGACTTTATGTTTGTCCAAAGCCCACCACATAATATTTCTTGGTATTTTATCATAAGCCTTCTCCAAGTCAATAAAAACCATGTGTATGTCCTTCTTCTTCTCCCTATACCGCTCCATAACTTGTCTTATTAAGAAAATGGCTTCCATGGTTGACCTTCTTCTCCCTTTACCGCTCCATAACTTGTCTTATTAAGAAAATGACTTCCATGGTTGATCTTCCGGGCATGAAACCAAATTGGTTCATAGAGACCCGCGTTATTGCTCTCAAGCGATGCTCGATAACTCTCTCACATAGCTTTATAGTATGGCTCATCAACTTAATTCCCCGGTAATTAGTACAACTTTGAATATCTCCTTTATTCTAGTAGATCGGTACCAATATATTTCTCCTCCACTCATCAGACATCTTGTTCGATCGAAAAATATGGTTGAACAACTTGGTTAACCATACTATAGCTATGTCCCCGATGCATCTTCACACCTCGATTGGGATACCATCTAGTCCCATCGTCTTATCTCCTTTCATCCTTTTCAACGCCTCTCTTACTTCAGATTTTTGGATTTTCCGCACAAAGCGCCTATTGGTGTCATCAAAAGAGTCATCCAACTGAAAGGTTGTGTCCATATCTCACCATTGAACAATTTGTCAAAATACTCTTTGTCGGGGACCTAATACCGGGGTACCCCAGAAGGTGGAATCGATAACCACCGAACGTTAAAAACTTCTGGACGCAAAAGAGTGTTGCTTCACCCCTCACGGGAATGACAGGAGCTTGGTTCCACCTCGCCCGACGCCTTTGGGGTGGGCCCGATCTCGCCCGAGGGCCGAGGATTAGTCTCCGTCTCGCCCGACGCCTTTTGGACGGGCTCGATCTCGTCCGAAGGCCAAGGGATAAACCTCAACTCGCCTGACGCCTTTGATGTGGCTCTGCCTCGCCCGAGGGCACAGGGCTAGTCTCCGTCTCGCCCGACGCCTTTAGGGCGGGCTCGGTCTCGCTCGAGGGCTGAGGGATAGACTTCGCCTCGCCCGACCCCGGAGGAGCAGGGTCGGTCTCGCCCAGGAGATAGGGATTGGTCTCCGCTTCGCCCGACGGCAAGGAACAAGCCTCACTCTGCTCCATATCTAAAGATTGGATTCATCTTACTCGACCACTTCTCCTGTTCCTCGAGATGATAGAGACAGGCAAGACAAGACGTTCAGTCAACCGTGGCTCCAAGAACCATACCTCACTCACACCTGGCAGAAAAGTCTTGCCGGGGGATGACAGATCGGGCGCTTTAGGCCCTTCCAGCGCCCAGAGCCCGAAAAGGTGTTATAGGTGCGAGCTCTCCACCTCAGAGTTGTAGGCGCCGCCTTGACTCTGGGACACACGAACCCGACAAAGATATACGACAACCGCTACGCTCCGTAAAAAAGGATTTGCTATCTCCACGAACGACGGATATTCCGTCACCACGCTATGGACCCAAGGGAGTGGCGCCCCGCTCCCCACCCTCAGTCCACCAAGACAGAAGACCTTGGCCACGGCGCTACTCCAGACCCGACCCCAAGTCCCCTCCGACGAAGACTCATAGGAACCAAGGCGTGCGGAGCAAGGTGGGGAGGCTCAAAAGTCAAAACCATTGTATGCATGGCCCATACCTCGCAGCGGGGTAGCATTCTCAGAACCAACCCGACATTCTCTGAGAGAGACATCGATGAATATTATAGGCGCTTATCTTCCTTCGCACTCATCGTAATGAAGAACCAGGCCGGGTAGACGTGAGCCACAAGACTAAGTAGAGTACACATCCTAAAGCCCTCACCCTTGTAAAACCAGCCCCTTCATCTATAAAAGGGGATGCGCTTCCTCCATAAAGTGGGAGAGAAAAAAGATCGAACGAGACGACTCTCAGATACACACAGTCAAGTTGTGTTGAACCTCTTGACATCCCTTCAACCCTTCCATCGAGAGACTTGGGACCAGTCCTCTCTTGATTGTTTGTACCCTTTACTACAAACCGCTCACGGTGCTAATAACACGAGCAAAAGAACAAAGCGGGCGTAGGGACTTTCGGCCCGAACCAAGTATAAATCTTGTGTCCTTTAGCGCACCATCCGAGCCTAACGCGCATTATTATAAATTTACTTGCGGTGCTTGTACGAAACACGGCGGTTGGCGCGCCGGTAGGGAGCTTATGCGTTCCAAATCAGCCTCGGATGGCCACCCACGCAATCACACAGGTCCCGGCGCACACGTGTGTTTGGCGACCTAGATTTCATCATCACACTAGAAGGAGAGTTGGCGCCGACTCACTCTGCTGCCCCATCTCTCCTTCCATCAACCTCACCCGTCTTAGGCTTGAGGGCCCACCGCAACTCCCAGAGTCCGGTCACCAAGGGAGGTCTCGCACAACGTCACCCTATGTCCGTAAAGGTCCCGTCTGGAGCGCCCGACAACAAGCGTTCCGTTCGGTCTCCGCAACGCCATTCGGCGGCGCTAGCTAGCCACCTTCTGGCGCTACGGATGAGTTCAATCACCCACGGACATCGAGTTCGTGGTGGGGCGATTGAACATGATACGGAGACCCTTTACAGCTCCTCAACGAGGAGCCGGATCATTCTCTAGCTTCGGATTCCGTGAGGGGAGCCACCACCCTTCCCAGAGTGCTTCATGACGCAGACCCCCAAAGGTCACGTCGAAAGCGCCTCCAGGGAAGAGGTCACCCCTACAAACAACCCTGACAGCAGATCCGGGGAAGAGATGACAGCCCCATCTCGCCTAAGGATGGAGCAGCTGAGGGCCCGTCAGCAAGAGATCGATGAGGTCGGGCAAGGGCTCGCCCGGGAATACACGGACATCAATCGCGAGATTGAACGCCGCAAAGACGGGGGGCGCGCGCGCGCCATGGCCCGCACCGTACATCGGAGGATCCTCACCGACGATGGGGCCCTTCCTCACTTTGCCCGAGCTAGCCAGAACATCGCCGCAGCAACCGCTTTGCTGCATGGCCTTCCGGAGGCCGCGACGTCCGAGGATCGCTGCGCTCACCAGGAGATTCGCACGTTGCTCGAGCGAGCAGCGGCGCAGCAGGCGAAAAGTTCGTTGTCTCGACGACGCGAACCCGACACCAGCCAGCGCGCGCCCTCGGTGCGTCCCACCAAGGACGCATCCGTATACCAAACACCGCCAGCCGGCGGGCAGCCCTCCGTCGTCCCAGTACATCAACGCCTCGGCCATGGCCACGACGTATGCAGTATCATCGATGCTCGGAGACGTGCCCACGTCGACGACGGAGAAGCAGCACGCCGCGGCTATCATCCCCGACGTGGTGAGCGCTACGACAGCAACGAGGACCGAAGCCCGAGCCCTGGCCTGCCAGGCCCTCAGGCCATCGCCCGACACATCCTCAACGCTGCATTCCCCCTAAGGTATCGACCGCCTACCAACATCCCTAAATATTCTAGCGAAACAAATCCTGGGCTTTGGCTCGAAGACTATCGGCTTGCATGTCAGGCCGGTGGTGCGAGTGATGACAACTTCATTATTCGCAATCTCCCGCTGTTCTTGGCCAATTCGGCGCGAGCATGGCTGGAGCACCTACCGTCCAATGCTATTCAGAGTTGGGCGGATCTGACGGAGATCTTCGTGGGTAACTTCCAGGGCACGTACAAACACCCTGGAAACCTATGGGACCTCAAAAACTGCCGCCGGAAGGCCAATGAAACCCTTCGTGGGTACATTCGGCGCTTCTCTCGATAGTGCAACGAGCTCTCGAACGTCGCCAACGCCGACGTGATAGGAGCCTTTCTGTCCGGGACGACCTGCGAATCCCTGGTCCACAAGCTGGGACGCAGGGGCCCGCGGACTACCAAGGAACTCCTGGACATCGCCACCAGTCACGCCTCTGGAGAGGAAGCGGTCGGAGCCATCTTCAACCACACCGACGGCAAGGCGAGGCGGGACG